GATGTTTTGACCAATGCCATATCTCTTGCAGAGGTGCCAGTAGCTGTGCGGATGTCATGGGCCGCTAGAAGAGAGACAAAGCGAGAAGAAGACCGCGCATACAGTTTGCTTGGGATACTTGGAATCAATATGCCTATGCTTTACGGAGAGGGAGAAAATGCATTTATCAGACTGCAAAAGGAAATCATTAGAAACAGTCCTGATATGTCTATTTTTGGATGGACACAAAGAAACACGACAGTCGAGGGTGACCAACATAGTGGTCTACTTGCATCATCGCCAGTCTACTTTGAAGATACCGGATCCTTGGTGGTTTCTCAGGACACTGTCTTCGATATTTGTGAATTCTCTGTCACAAATAGAGGACTAAAGTTCGAAGTCCCACTGGCAATAGATCCAATCACAGGCTGCCACATGCTTCCTATCAACCATAGACACGGTACATACAGCAATGACCTTTATTCTCTTGGAGTGTTTCTACGACAGGTTGGGCCTAGTCTATACGTACGAGCCTTTCCCAATCGCCTAGCGACTATTCAGCGTCGTAGATCTATCAAATCTCTTCAAGTCGCCACCACACTTTCAGCGGAAGAAGTCACTTCTATTCGTGAGCACGTACTTTTAATTACCAAGCCGGTACGTCTGGACCATCCGAGTATCGGACTTTCCGAGATCGAGCCTGTTGGTTGCTGGGACCCATTTCGGAAAATGTTGTTTGCAGGGCATACCGGCGTGTTTCTGGGTTTCTTGCATTTTAAGCCTGAATGGGCTGATGAGTTTGATTCCTTTGTTCTTGTATGCCGTTTCAATCGGACAAGAGACCCATCTTGGCGGTTTAACTTGGTACGTGGCGACGACTGGCGGAGCATTCGGCCAAGATATCACAATCTTCATGAATACAACTATAAAGCATTCACACAGCCTCGGAAAACACTAGGATTGTATCTTTCGCATCTTTATGATGAATCAAGGAGAAAGAGGATAAGGGTATCTCTGGCCTCAGACGAGCTCGTTGCAAAGGGAGGCGCTTATCTTAGCTTGAACGTCGAAGATCTGGAAGCTGCAACTATGTAATACTCGACTACGTTTATTCACTCTTTACTGAAGCTCTATAAAGATCAATGAACATCTGGTGTCACATTAAGACGTCCTTTGACCCTTTCATTACAATGTATGTCGTACTTAATCCATATTCGGCTCGAGTAGCTCTATCGCTGCTCCTTCATTACAAGATAGATGGTTTTCTGCTCAAAGCCTTTGAGACGGTTAACATCAACATGATATACTTCTCCACTCGCATATCCCTTTAGGTGTGGCGCCTCTGCAAGCTTTTCTGAGCCGATTGAAACCACTCGGGTGCACACTGCATACATTTTTCCATGCCATTCCTGAGTACAGTATGTCCAACAAATGAGATCTAGACCCAAATTATTAACAAAAAGGCACATTCTGAGTCCATGGGTGGTTATCTCTGGACGTTGTAAAACGTTTATGCTGTGCGGAAGACGATCCGTGAGGGCCTCTATGGAGGCAAGGTCTAAGAGAGAATGGCGTTTCAGGCTATGCCATTCCAGCTTTTCCGAAGTGTCATTGATGCTTCCTGATAACAAGGTCGGGTGCGGAGCTAGTGGGTCCCAGACCGCGGGCCTTGTACAAAGCAGAATCGTGTAATCCTCGATTCTCCGAAAAATCTCATCCCAAAAGCGAAGACATGCGTTCCAACTGCCTTCTCCATACATCATCGTCATTTTGATGCCGAAAATGCCCAGAAGCGAGTACACCTGGTCTTCTTCCAGTGTTGCTCTGCGGTTTGCTGCCCACGATAACCGTTCTCTTACACTGAAATGAGCCAAAGGTCTTCCTTCCAGGGCTTGGGTGGCGATTCCAGTTATCTCATGGAGAGTTTGCCGAAGTGTGTTCTTATCACCAAGCTTTTGGCCTTCACGGGAGAAGAACTCGGCTGAACTAGAGGTAAGAAGCTCCTGAAGGGTCCAAATCCGGGCGAACCATCTGCTTTGCTGAAAAGCTAGCTGCCACTTACAATCAGATTCTTCGCTGATTTCTGACCACCCCTCGGTGGAGACATAAGATAGATAGACGTAGCATTTTGCTGCATTCTGATAATAGGAAGACAAAGAGTTGATAGCATCTTCAAGCGTGACCGAATCAGACCTGTCAATGCAACAGGTGTCGACCCAGAAGTATTCAAGGTCGTCCAGCGCAGCCTGTTTGGCGCAGAATACAAGCTTCCTATACCCTTCCTTGTGTCTTCCGCCATGACGTGAACCTTTCAGATCGGCAAGTGTCACCTCCTGCTCTTGCTAGGTATGCGACAGGATCGCATAATAGGGGATATGTTCTCCAACTAAGTCTTCAGTCAATGTAAACCCCCGATCGCTACTATATAGCAGCCGCATCAAGCTGCATGTGTGTGTATATGTGCGAGCGGTAGAGGCAGGTGTCGGAGCTTCAAAGCAGGCTGAGAAAACGGATGGCAGCTAGAGGCCTACCCACGCAATGCAGAGAGATGGTGGCTCTTAGATCTATTGTGAACGCCGGGTGATGGCTTTCTAAGTCAAAGGTGAAGAGGTACGGCATCCAGAGGCTTTGGAGTGCAGCAAGCTAAACGTTGGGGGAGGAGGCGCAGCTCGCCTGCGCAGTAGCGTACGTAAGGCTGACATTATGTAGCTGTGGCATAGAATTATATCGCGGCCACGATGCGGGTCCATGCGGGGCTGCCAATCGGTGGAGCCTACTAACTTTCACATGCAGCCGCTAGCTTAGCGAGAGACCCTTCTTTCTCAATCTACCCGCTCCGTGCAAGCGCCGACAACTACAACTCCATTTTTTTTCTTCCACCCTACCCAAACCTTTACACACAACCACCACAATGCCCATCTCCAAGAAAGACCGAGTACGCCAACCCCCTGCCATCAGCCAAATCAAAACATTCACTAACACCCGCCTGCACAGATCCAACGCGAACACCGCAAAGCCGAAAAAGCAGGCACCCGCGCCCCCGTCAAGGCCAACGGCCTCCCCGTCAAGGCTCCCAAGCCAACCTCCATTGTAGGCATTCCCATGCCTTCTCCTCCTCCCTGAACCTAGTCTCTGTCTTTCAAACATTTCCACACCTCACATAAGCAATCCTTTTGCTGCATAGTCAGCTAACGGGCACGCCCGCGCCCGTGCGGGGAATACTACAGTGCCAGAATTGCCGTCGCGAAATCGTAAACACGAATAAGGCGCAGCTGGAGGCGCATGCGGCGAGTCATGATTCGGTTGCTTGGCCCAAGGAGAAGTGTTGGCCTAATGACTTTTAGTGGGGTGGAGTTAGGTCATGGATATGTGGGGGTGAGTGGGATACACAGTGGATATACAGAGCGAAGCGAGGGACTCAAAGAAGCTGAGTCGGTATACGAGGTGGGAGAACCGGTACTGAGGGAGGAGTGTTTGAAAGTCGTACGCGTTTGGACATGCTCACGAGCGAGATGACAGTGCTTTATGATACCAGATATATTTGGAATGAAATAATATATTCTATCCCACATGGAGAAGCGAGGGTTTGGAATAACGATTTCACAAACACATTTATGTTTTCGAAAGGACTCGGTTTCTCGAGTTAGGAAACAATGAATGAATAAAATGGTTCTTCCTTTTACTACATGCATTGCATACGTAGTTGCGAAAAGACCCCTGCTACGATCCGCCTCACACGCCATTCGCGCCTCTTTGAGTAAGACAATAAGGCCAATGGTCTTTTAATTCTTACTCTTCACCAGACGTCCCCGCTCATACTGGCGACATGCCCTTACTAGCTCGTACTCTGCTTCTCTCGAGTCTCGCTATCCTGGCTAGCCTTGTAGAGCATATCCATCAATTTTCGCATCCAAGCGGTATACCCTGGGGTTTTTGGGCTGATAGAACCCTGAACAAACCGGCATAATTCAATCGCCTTCTTAGGCTCGCCGCTGAGGTGATAGCTGCAGATAAGGCTTTGTGCGCAGTCCAGGGCAACCTTGCTCCCTAGTCCGAGTGTATCTCGGCAGAGCTGCCAGCACTTCAGCTGGAGGTCCAAACCTTTTTTATTGTTTCTGTTGTTTCGATACGTCTGCATGAAGTCTTCTATCCAGATTCTATGAGCCTGCAATTGTGGATCGAGACGTTGTAGAATGGCTGCATCTAGTTCTATTGCTTCCTCTGGCGTGTCTGAAGACGCGTATGTTCGGGCGATGACTCTGAGGAGTGTGCGTTGTTCAAAGTGCAGAGGCAGCGATGCGGATAACATGGTGTGTGCGGCTTCTTTGGCGAACATGAGTTGGTTGTGCTTGAGCCCTGCTTGATGATAGCGAGTGAGAAGGGCTATAGCCCACTGGCAGGATACCATGGATGGCAATAACTGCTTGACCGTAGGCCAGAGGGCCTCGCGCAGGGCGACCCGGTCAATTGCACTGCAAGGTAGCATGCGGGAAAGGTATCTATCGGCTCTCACCAGAAAGAGTTTATCGTCACAGTATCTGATGCGGACAATGCTCTGTGTCCTGAAGACCGCTCTGAGAACCAGGCGTCGGCGGTTGTTGAATGCGTGGTAAATTTCGGGGTGGGTGAAGATCAGACGCTTTAGAGATATCAGATCTCGGCACCTGATTAGCAATTCGTAGAGTATGTCTTCGTGGAGCGTGTGTACATTGAGAGCACACACGGTTGATGGTGGCGAAGCAAAAGGCATGATGGTGAGCCGATTGCAGATAGCAATGGGTAAAGAATATATTTGACCTAGGTACTCACATATAGTGGTACGGAGGTTACCTGACCCAGATTTGATACGCCATGATAAATTTACGTAAAGCCACTGAGCTAGCCTTGAAGAAAACAGATATATCAAATTGGAACAATAAGAAACGTCCTCTTTCATCAAAAGCTCATCAATAAACGTGGTATCAACTGAACAGGGCCCGAATGTGCACCAAACATGAGTAACATAACTATGTCTCTTTTCACTAATGATTACTTATAGATTCCACCTGAACTGACACCTCCTGTGTCCGTGTTATGACTAAGTCTTCTTCTCCCTTACTACGATGATTAACATGCCGACGGCTGAAGCTCAGAATACTCTCTTGGCTCTCCTGACCTATCGTCGTATCTGAAATCCCCGTCTTCTTGTGTCTCCTGGATGACCGAAATGTTTTGCTTCCAATTGTGACCAGCTTCGTGGCATGTTGGCCATGTGATGCATAACCGCTTCGTCCTCGCTCCCCTCTTGTGCTGCCAAATAAACCGTGACCGAAGATGCGATCGATTAGTGGCTGGAGAGTTGGAATGCATGCGGCGATGATGATTGCATTTCCTTCAATGCTGGTCCAGATTGTGATGTCGGCAGTGTCGTCTATACAATCGGTCAACATATACTCGTAGCTTTGAAACAAATTTTCACTTACAACTGAAGTCAGCGCTGGCAAGTGCAGGTAGCCGAGTCGACTTGTAAACCGCAACGGCTGCAGCTCTATTTACAAATGAGAAGTCATCTTCCAACGAGCGTTTGTAGACTTACACGGAGCCTAACCCGAGCGCAAAGCTGAGAGCGATCTTCTTTTTTACGTTCATCTGTAGCCTGTAGAGAACAGCAGCCGGATATATCGCAAGATAAAGATCCACAATGGCGGATAGAGCTGTCAAAATGAGTCGAGTTCCCCATTTCACACGGGTGACGTACTGCCAGCAACAATGGCATAGTATACCAAAACCCATGGGCTCCAGCAAGTGCCTTTAACTGTGAAGTCCCACTGCGATCGTGTTGGAGTACACTGCGCGAAGAGAATGACAACACAACCAAGCAGAATCAGTAAGCAACCGCCAGTCATTGACCAAAGGAACACCGCGTGACCTTGGCTGGGGTTCATGATTCTCGTTAGAAGTGCTACCACAGCTAGCTTGGGGATCCCAAATGAAAGTATCCCTGGGCAAAATCCCGCAATAGTGTATAGTATGGCATCTGATTTCTGCTCGGTGGTGAGCGTAGCGAAATGACGACCATTGCCGGCCCGTACGGCGGCTATCGTTAGGCCAAGCATGACGTAGCCACATATCTGCTCAATGCGTCAGTACCTTGCGAGGTGGGAAGAGCCCTGATGAAAATACTTGCCATGGATAAAATCATCAGCCAGTCATCTAGGCCAATGTGTGACTGTATTTTGCCTCGGACATAAAGTCTTGCAGCCACAAAAAGGGTGGCCAGAGCAGTCAGTGAGATGCATACCGCTAAGATCGTAGGCCCCTTGTCTTCGTTGGCGAGATGTTCAGGCAACACTTTTGGTCCTGACATATCACAATCAAGTCCTGCGAGAAGACTAGACAATTGTCATGTATTTCCGGGGAAGATTGAGTGCCTCTGCAGCAAGCCGATGAACATAGACATGTCTTATACATTGCCCAAGCCAACAACAACGTTGTAGATCCAGTCTGAGCGTCTAATTCCAGGTTGTTGCATCTTTTCCCAACTGTCCCGCGTTCTTCGATAGGCATTCTGCCTAACGGAAATTTGCTGCAGCGGATCGCTACCGCGCCGCAATAGAAAATGCAAGTCCGCGCAATCAATGCGTGCCAACACCGAATGGTAGTAGTAACACCCCTTGCATAACACATGCCGGCCAAGCCCGAGTGCATATGTAAACTAATTCTTTAATTTCTGGGTGTAGATCAGTCCTTTTTGTTCGCTGTTGATGTACGGGGCATGTAGTGTAAAGGAGGGCGGAATCCTCCTCGCTTGTTGCGGATAATTCAGCACCTAGTTATCACAATGTCAGCGCGCATGCTCATGATGTTTCAATCAGTGCAAATAGTTTGATGCCGAATAAAAACTATCTTGAGGCAGTCCACGATACCAGTTCACAACCACACGTATGAAGATGCGCTCGAGTCATCCCTGAACCAACTGTCATGCTAGTGAAGTTGCCCCCAACATCGCGCTACTAAATGCGGCACAGCGGACCAGTCGAAATGTTACCGTACAGCCGCTCTTGCGTTATGCTCGTTTGCGAGGCGACACTTTAGCGCTCCTTCATTCCCAATGCTATGGTTCGTGTTGCGGACTTCAATCAATCAAGGGTCTAGCCGGTTAAGTTAGGTGCGGAGACACCCCGAGCCCTTGATTCCGTCAATTCCTTCCAATTTGAAGAGAATCTTACCCTATGAAATATATTGAGCCTGCATGATCATACAGGCTCGTAGTTCAGGAGATGTCAAAGGTATGACTAGTGCTGGTGTGCCTCATGGTACACAACGAGTCAAGATCACTTATGGAAAGTGGTTTTAAAGTCACGGTTGTCCGTTTCAATCCATTACCCCAAAGATATTTTTGCTCTATAGTTCAAATAGAGTTCATTTGAACGATATCGTAATCCCTGTTCGCTCAGGCACTTCTTCACCGAGCCCATCATTAACCATGACCGTACCTCTACTCGATGGCGGCATTGCCGTACGTGCCAACGATCCAGGAGCCGTTCCAAAGATACTAGAGAAGCTTCTGATGTTTAGAAAATCGTCAATTACTGAAGGCAACGACGGTCGTCTGGATATGCTCGCGTTGGCTAGGGGTCTGGTGGTAGCTTTGGAGACTCCCCGGGAAACAATGATCAAACACAACTGGGTGCAGGTATGTGTATCAGGATTCTAGGACTGAATATATCTAAGTTTCTTGTAGCCGGGCTGTCATACGGCTATTACGGCTTGTTACAATGCAGGTGTGTTCAAAGTACTTGCTGAGAAAGACAGGCCAACAAAGGTCGATGAGATTGCGGCCGAGCTCGGAATTCCTCGCCAAACATTAGGTAAGCCTACATTCCCGCATATCTTCACAGAAAGCCTCTAATATCTGCAGCTCGCATGATGAAACACATCGCAGCTATGGGCTACATCAAGGAAACAGGAACTGATGAGTATGCACCGACAAACTTCTCCAAAGCGCTAGACATACCCATCATCGGAGATGGTTACCCTTGCCTGTAGGTGCTAAATCTGACTCATTGCTAACACGTTTGGTTGTAAGACTGACCTAATTAGTGCTGGTGGAGCCCATCCATCCTGCAGCAAGTTCCCAGAGTACCTCAAGGGAAGTAACTACGAACTCACCTCAGATATCGAATCTGGACCATACCAATTTGCATTCAATACTAAAATGAGCATGTTTGAATACATGATTGCTCACCCGCCATTGGGCCAACAGTTCAATCATCACATGAGTGGATATCGGCAAGGTCGACCAAGTTGGATGGACCGTGACTTTTACCCAGTGAAAGAAAGGCTCGTAAAGGGAATGGATGCGTCTAAGGATGCAGTGATGCTGGTAGATGTTGGAGGAGGCCATGGTCATGATATCGAAGAGTTTAGGTACGGTCGTAGGAACCTAATCACCAAATGCATGCTTACAAAATGTCTAGGCTAAAACATCCCGATGCATCTGGTCGGCTCGTATTGCAGGACCTTCCCCCTGTCATTGATAGCATCGAGAATCTACATCACGATGTCGAGCGTATGAAATACGATTTCTACACTGAGCAACCCATCAAAGGTCAGTCTGAAAACTTAAACCCGCCACTGTGAAAAGGGACTAACATCAACAGCGGCTCGAGCATACTACCTACATTCAGTGCTCCATGACTGGCCCGACGACGTATGCAAGATTATCTTGGATCAGGTTACCGGTGCTATGAAGCAAGGATACAGCAAACTCCTGATCAACGAAATCATCATCCCAGACCAGGGAGCAGACTCCGAGGCCACGGGACTGGACATGATGATGATGACACTTTTTTCCTCCAAGGAGCGCACAATGGAAGAGTGGAAACGATTGTTAGAGTCGCCTGGACTCGATCTGAAGATTGTGAAAGTATGGAGTGTCAAGCACTCACAGGAGAGCTTGATTGAGTGCGAATTGGCATAAAGTGTGTCGGATGACTGCATGTATGCCTGAATGACATTCCAGAATCCTTTTCAAATGTCTTTACATGTTTCTAAATGTCTCACGATCATCTTAGTACTAGAAAACGATAAAAGCTATCTGGTCAGTATGTTCCTGGCCCTCCGCGGAGCAGCGCTTACCCTGCATCCTTCATGACGCGAAAGGAAGCTGGGCCTTGACACGCCAAGCACAATTCAATGCATGCGTATATGTAGAATGCTGTATCGGTCCGAAGTTGACTGTTTATCATGATAGCATCGTCTGATCCCACAAGTGATGGTGGCCGGAAACCTGGAGGCTAACCCTTTGCAGGGCCTGGCACAGGCCTATCATAGGTGAAACATGTGCACGTTTATTGATAAGCTGACGATACCACTGTTCTATAAGCTCAGGAAATATCATTCGCTGAAGTGAACGTTACATGGCGCCGGAGCAGAGACCTCCTCGTCTGCGATGAGATGCCTCTGCTTGGTGAAGCCACGGGAGATGCATCCTTTTCGGGGCATATCCAACCTCAAGGCAATTGAAGTATTAACCATGGCGGATGTATAGGAATGAATAACGACACTGTAGTTTCTGGCTCCATTGGTTGTGGGATCGATGTATCTCGCCGCGTTGTTACCCACTCCGCCCTCTCTTTTGACAAGCGCTGGGACCTACGGAATGAGGGTGCTATATGGCACGTGATCCATGAAGCCTTGTTTTTGTTCGGATCTTGTGCCGTGTGATAGACGTCTTGTTTCACAATAACCAACAGATACCTTTTTTATTTATCAGTTGCGCTAACAGTATATGTGCTTACGGGACTACTGTCTTGTACGGAACGAAGTAGAAAGATTCTGAAGTTCGAGGAAATGACAAGAATAAAGTTAGGTAGACAAAAGGAATCGCCATGCGATCCAATGCACCATAGATGTAATACGTGCGTGGAGTTCGGAGTATCTACAGGATCATAGTGCCAGCCAGCTACCATGGCATTCCCGAGATATCCAATAGTATCTCTAGAATGAATACTACATTGGTCCTTCAGTCCCTTACGAAAGTATCGGGTGCTAGCCTGAGCTACAAAAACATGGGAAACAACAACACAACTCAACAAACCAACGTAGCAACTACCCGTTTTCACCAACAAAGAAACCCATCACAGTCACCACCATGACATCCGTCATCATCTTCGGGCCGACTGGTCAAGTCGGATCTGCTGCCGCACGAACAGCCGGAGACCTTGGAGCCAAAGTCTGGTTGGCAATGCGAGACACATTAAAAGCCATCCCTGGTCTCACCAAAGAGTCCGCTGGCAACTTTCATCGGATCCAAGCCGACCTTACCAAACCCCCGACCGTCAGCCAGGCCATCAGGACCTCCGGAGCCAAACGCGCGTTTATCTACCTCGTCCATCATGAATATGAACACCTCCACGACGCCATTATCGCAATGAAAAACGAAGGCGTCGAATTCATCGTTTTCCTCAGCAGTTTCACAATCTACACCAACCAAGCCCTCCGCACCATCTCCCCATCCGACCTCCTCCCATTCGTCCACGCCCAAGTAGAAGCAAGCCTAGAAGAACTCCTCGGTCCAGAGAACTACGTCGCTGTGCGTCCCGGATGTTTCGCCACAAATCTATTATCAGCACGAGACAGCATCCTCGCAAACGACGTCAAATTGTACGGCGGAGAGTTCCAACAAGATAACATCATCCCGAGTGACATCGGCAACGTCATAGGCAACATCGTTGTTTCTGGTTCGAAAGACCAGAAAATCGTATATCTTTATGGTCCCGAGGTGCGCTCGATACGAGATAGCGTCGCAAGAATCGGGGGCGTTCTCGGGAAAGATTTGAAAATAACGACTCTGAGTCCCGAGGAAGCGTATCAGAAGTACGTTGAGCGCGGTATGCCTCCGTCTTTTGCAGAGTACATGGTGAAAACGCTGGGTACCAAGGGTCCAGACAAGGGCAATGGTGAGCGGTTCCCCCACTATGAGGATGGAGTGAGGAATGTGAAGGTTTATACGGGCCGGCCGCCGATGAGGCTTGAGGACTGGGTGAGACAGAATAAGGCGTTATTTGGGGCATGATTGATCAAAATGCGATAGTTGAGATGGAAGAGTTTCTACCCGTGAGTGATGTGACGAACAATGGAATCTCTGTACACTCAACACGACACTGCAAACACACTGAGGTCTCCAGGAATAAAAAGACGTGTATTAATATCCTAACATTCCCCTTTCACTCACGCTATCAAAACCCGAGCTGCCTAAAACCCAAAAGCGTCCAACAAACTATTCGCATCCGGCTCATTAAACTGCGTAGGTGGCGGTTTCTTCTTCTCTTCCTTCTTCTCCTTTTCTTGCTCAGAATCTGCCTCCTCCTCAAGTGGCGCCGCCTGAATTTCTCCTTTCTTGAGCTCTCTGACCGGTAAATCAGCCACGACCAATGAACTGCGACGACGCAGCAGCTTCCTAGGATCAAAATCGAAATCTTCGGCGCTGGAGTTGCGTCCGTGAGTGTCGGAGCTCTCCCGTGGCATCGTAGGACTAAGCAATGGCACGCGGTCGCCGGTAGCTTGTGACTTTTTCGTTGATGGCGGTGGAGGGAGTAGGAATTCCCATGTCTTGACCAGATCGAGTGCGAGAACATCACAGCCCATGCGGTCGTACAGTCCAGCGGTGTGCAGCACAAAGTCCCATTCCTCGCGCATACCAATCATGGTGGCGCCACGGAGCGTTTGTAAGCTCTTTTCGCGAAGCTGCTTGTATAGTACTACAAGAGCAGGGTCGTCGGTGAGGTAGGATTTGGCAAGTGGGTCAGGACTCTCGGATGTGTCGATGAGGTCGGAAAGCGGCGTGACGAGCGCACGCACGGCCATATCCTTGCGGTTGAGTAGCCAGTATGCCCAGATTGCAAGCCACCGGTTTCCTTCTCGGGCAGCCTGGGGTAGAATTTTGTTCTTGAGGAAGTCCAGTAGCACCGGAGACTCATCACCACCATAAACCCTCGCTACGGCAATAGCAAGCTGCGTATCTCCTAGCTGAGTATGCAGCACGTTGACAGCTACGTCGAGGCGATCTGCAAGCAGGAAGAACGAAGCGGCATATTCGAATCTCCTTCTGCCCATGAGAGCATATGCATTCTTAAGCGCAGCAGTCTTCCAGCGGTCTTCATTAAAGTTGTTCGATAATAATCGATGTGTGGCGGTTTGTTCTCTTGACCAAGTTGCCATGCGCCATAGGCCAACCAGGACTGGTTTCTTACGCAGAGCCATGTAGTACAAAGCGCAGTCAACTGGGTTCTTTTCTTCAGTCTTGGTGTACTCATTCCGAGCAATGACCTCGAATTGAGCGCGCAGTGCGTTCGTATCCGACAGCCACATGAACACTCCGCATTCCTTAGCGTGTTGCCATAGCATCTTTCCGCTAAAATGCCTGCTGACGAGGTCCACTAGGATGTCTTGGCTTCCGGAATAAAATGCCCAGACGATCTCACGCCATGAAATGGGGCCTTTATGGACCTGGCTGAGGACGTGTTGTCGGAAAAAGAGCAAGAAGCGACCCGCGTTGTCATCAACCGAACGACGATGCCTCTCCACCATGCCAATACACTCGATGATATCAGCTAGACGGAATTGTTCGCGACTTGAAAGCAAGGGTATCTGCTTCTTAGTCAAAAGTTCCTTGAGATTTGACGCGACTTCTTCAGTAACAGCCTCTGGTTCGCTATCATCTGAGTAATCCATATAAGACGAGTGTATGTCTTTCTTAGATGTAGTCATTTGGGTCTACGTATGTTAGTGATCATCCTATCGAATACAAAAGTACACATACCTGGTCCTCAGAGAAATCCTCTGGGGCGAAGCCCAGTGTGCTGTCAAATTCCTCGCCCTCAATCCAGAACTTGAGCTTCTTGTAAAGAGATATCAAGATACGCTGCACTAATAGCAGCTTACCAGCCAACACGCATTGCGATAGCAGTTGAGGATGGTATGCTGGTAATGGGCCATTGAGACGACTGACAGCTTCAAAGATGTCGATATGTGCAGTCTTGCGTGACAAAGTTCGTAAACTGGGGAAAAGACTGTCGGTTATTTCCACATGCTCATCTTGTATGAAGAGCTGATTACCTGCGCCTATGACTAGATTGCCACTCCCTAGCCATACTGAGTCACCAATTGGATGGGGAGTGATGTCTCGAATTCGCACGTCACCGATTTTTACCCAGGATGGACCTGCGTTCAGATAGTCGTATCGCAGTTGCGCGTAAATGACAACACGGTGAGGGAAGCCGACAGCGAGGATAGACTGGTTATCTGGAGTGGATGACCAATCGAGATCAGAGATGATGCCATTACCTTCAAAAGTCTCCTGATGCTCGAGTTGCGCACTGCGGGTGTTCCAGATGGTCAGTGTGGTCCGTTCAGCGTCCACCAGCGCGGCTTTTCGTATTGAAGTTCCACTAGCAAGCGAAGGGCTGTGTACGCCAGTGTCCACCTCAGACATCAACAGCCATTCAAGATCTCGCTTTTCAAGATTGACACGGGCAGTCCAAGACTTGATGACTCCCGACTTGGTGTACGAAATGGCAGTGTCTCGCGCAAATGCATCAAGAAAACCGGAGATGACAGGTGCCGAACCTGCAGGGTCCACAGGCAATACAAAAGCGAGGTCGTCGCCGCAGCCAAGGTCAAAGGTGGAGAATTGCTCGAGAGAAGCGGGTGCATGGCCATTTGTGTACCCGTTGGCATGTGTACTGTTGGATGAGTTTCTTCCAGTAGCCGGGTCTCTTTCCAGTACTGGCAGTGTAACTTCCCAGCATATACCTTTCGTCTCAGAGCTGACTGTGGCAACGTGAACACGCCTCCTATCATGGTCAATTTCGGGAATGACCAAAAGACATAGAGGCTTCCCTCGTAACTCGTAGGGACGCCGCATAATTTCGACAGCTTCGTGTCCACGTGTATCCCATAGCGAGATTTCTTTGTGATGCAGAAAGACAAGGAAGTTGCCCTCTTGTAAAAGTGCAGTACGGTGGATGTGCTCAGTGACGTTGATACTGCTGTGACGATGGAGCGTCATGCCATCGTCCCCCTGTCGGTGTATCCAAACTATGCACTCATCGGTAGTGGTACGCGACACAAGGGCCTTTCCACTGGCAGTACGATTGACTTTCTTGATAGCATGCGAGTGCCCTGTCCACATGGCCTTGCGTTGCATGCGCTGTGGCTGCTGCGAAGGATCAAACAAGTAGTCGATGCGCGCCTCCAGCCACTCCATGCGGCCGTCAAAGTGATGCGATAATATGGTCAGTTCAGACTCGGGCTTTTCGTCAATAAATGCATAGAACTGCACATTGTCCTCCATGGGTTTGGGATCCTTTGCGAAATGCATGCGCAGTCCATCGACGTGGGCAATATTGAAGACGTCAGTAACCTTCTTGCCCTGGGCGCCCACGTTTTCGAACCCCCATGCTGACATGTTGCCACGATCGTCGAGCACAACGCAGATCTCGGGACTGCGGTTCGCGACCTCGATTAGGTGATGGAGGGCTATTCCGTGGTCCTTTTCCTGGGGCGAAGCCTGCTGCATTGCTCTTTCCGTCGCTTGCTTGAAGTGCTTGCCGTCAATGAAGAAGGCGTACCGCTTGCTCGACTGGCGGTCCAGCGGTATATGACGCTCCATGATGGCTTCCATTAGGTCCACCTCAGCCCACATGTGCATACCGTCTACTCCGTGATGTTCTCCAGGCACCCATACGCGCACTTTGTTGTCGGCGCATATCGTGTAGAGCACATTGTCGGCCAATTGCTCCTTTTGAAGCGGATACCGCCAGTGCAAGCCGGTGATTGCTTTGGGATGGGGAAGGTAGAAGTAATCGAATCTCTGATCCGCAGAGCCAAATGCTGTGCGACGCCATATCTTCAGTAGTCGGTCGTGCTGGCCGGTTGAAGCTATCAGCTCGGCGTCGGGCGAGAAGTGGGCAAACTTGACGGGGTTGGCCAACTGTTTGGACCACGTATACTCGATATCGCCATGGGTGTTGAACAGGGTCAGCGAAGCACTGCCAGCGAGAAGTTCATCAGGCATCCCCCATGAGAGCGTCGTGATGGTGTCGTCGGCATCAGGCAATGCCATGCTGCCTTGTAGCGACCACTGCAAACAATA